CAGGAGGTCGTCTACTTCAACTTACCTGAGGTCTAACTTGCCGTTCTGGAATGAGATTAGTATAGTCCGCGGCGCAAAGCACCGCGCACACCTTCAATTTACACGCAGAACAAATTACTCCCAGTGGCCAAGGGGAAAAAATTCAACTGCATTTTTTATTACTTTACACTTAGTTCGCCACCCCAAAACCCCTTTAACCACCGTTTTCGTAGGGCAAAATGTTGGGACTAGGGGTATATGAGGTGCACTACTTAAACTACCTTTGCCTAAAGTTTTATGCATTTTTGCACAGCAAAACGAGCTGTGACGATTTTCTGCATATTCTCTCATCTGGTGAGACTGACTGACAAATGTCACGCCACCCTAAATATTATCAAGCGTAGGCGTGGGCCCGTGGCCTAGAGGGTAGAGTGTTTTCACCGTACAGTTTGGTTTTTTATGAAGTGTTGACTGAAGAGGGAAAAGTTGACCTACCCAGATCACGGGCCTTTTCGATCTCGAGGAGGAGTGCGTGATGTTGTTTCTCACAAAGACCTAAAAGCAAAGCGCTGATCTTAGATTTAAGAAAGTACAAAAAATTAAAATTAAAGTTGGACAGGCACTCAAAAGCGCAATCAAGTTATTCCCAGTGCCCAGAGAATGCGACACAGCACATGAAACATTGACTGATAGTGTTTGGTTACATGTGTGTGGCTTTTCATTACTAATTATGGTTCTACCTTTCAGTTGAGAATCTTTTCGGCCATCTGTAAAAATTAGCACGGGGAGCCTCGTAGCTCAATGGTAGACCGTTGGCTGCGCAAAAGCCTTCCCTGTTTTGTGGGTTCGACTCCCACCGAGGCCGCAAATTTCTCACAATTAGGTTAACTGAATTATTCTAACTAAAGTAACATAAACTAAAACTAAACTAGGTGGTTATGAATAGTAAACTACGGTGTGACTTATAAGCAATCCATACCGGCACAGCTTTTCAGCCTGAGAAGTCAAAAAAACAGAGAGCAAGACACAAGATCATAACGCCTACCGGTAATTGTGGGTTCAAGAATTTCTGCTGATTGCGGATGGAGGAAGTGTTTGAGAAGATATACATTCTAGAAGCAAGTGTAAAGGAGCCAGAGTGCCGACCCACGCACCTGATAGTCCAGCACAAGGTATTCATCCCGGCAGATGGGACAGGGGTTAGAGGTTATTAGTCGATCTCCATGCTACAAAAACGAGACGGTACAAAGTAGCGCTGATTAAAGGCAGCAAAATATAAAACAAGGGTGGTGATTTTCTTGGCGGCACACGAGAGTTATATTTATATTTACATGTCTACTCAATTAATTTCAGTAGGCATAGTTTTTGTTCAGAAGTTTTCGAGTTGACCCAATGCAGTACACGTACTCAGTTAAAACCTGTCTGGCTTGGCAAGGCAGATAGAAAAGCCTCGCCTACCTTTCTATTAACAGTTGATGAAGGGATACATACACATATCTACCGGTCAACATCCTCGCC